ACTCCTCTGCAAGGGGATCTCCAGTGGCCTACTAATGGGCTTTGGATCTCCACTCCACACTCCCCCCATCATTCACTATGGTAAGATTTTTTGTTCTGGAAATCACTAATGCAACAATAGGGAAACTGGTTAACCCAGTTTCAAAAGGGGAACAAAGTTGCCAATGTGAAAGAAACAGCAAAACAGAGTTGATGGCAGGACCAAATATATTGCTGAGAGTTGGAAGGCTTCTGGAAGAGTTAAATGTGGAGGAAAATGGGAAGAGTGTGGCTCTCACCCGGATAGGGATGATGTGGCTGAGACAAGGGATGACAGGAAGGCCCTTGTCCATTAGTAGCTGACGCATGTGCTTGACATTTCGCTGATGGGCTCGCCTCAAGATTTGGCCTTCCTCTCCTTTGAGCAGCTTCACAGACTCTAGAGCCCCAGACAGCACCATAGGGGGCAATGAAGTAGTGAAGATGAATCCCGCAGCGTAAGAGCGTACCATATCCACCAAGTCACGGGTGCTGGCTATGTAGCCACCCACACAGCCAAAGGCCTTGCCTGGAGATGGGAGGGGGAGATGCACAGACCCCATAATCAGTCCCCAGAGGTACAGAATCATGCCCTAGGAGGCAAACTAGAACTTGGATCTCCATATTCCCATCCTAGGCCTCTTTTCATCTCTTCTGTCCTGACATATGCAATGATAAGATAGGCAGGAACTGGGTGGAGACTTTCAACTAGTTAGCATTAAGAGCTTAAATGACACTTATGGTAGGGAGGGGGAGGGGTTGAGAAATCCAGCTCTCTATTTATTCAAGTTGAACCTGCCTATTTGGCTCAGCTGAGGAGTCTTTTCAAAGAACCCTCCCAGATTTCTGAGGAACTCTGCAGTCAAGTGGAGGGGAGGGAAACAATCCAGAAGGATGCTAGTATGGGACTCTGAATTCTACCCAACTAGATCCTGCAGCTTTAAAGAGGAGGAGAGGAACCCTACACTGACTTCCTCTTTAGGTTGTATGTAAGGGAAGCCTAAGGCACTTACCAAGAGTTCCAGAGACAATATCAATCTTGTGCATGATTCCATCACGCTCCCCAATTCCAGCACCCCGTGATCCATACAGTCCTACAGCATGAACCTCATCCACAAAAGTCAAAGCCCCATACTGATGGGCCACATCACACATTTCCTCAAGTGGGCAGATGGCACCTGAGCAAAGTCAAGGGACAAATGTAAGGGATTGTAACCCTTTTCCAGCTACATATCCAGTGTGGTCTTGGCATCCCACCTTCAGGCAGAAAAGAGGGCTACAATGAGGGGGAAGATTATACATTCATTTGAGACAATTCCAAAATTTTTATTTGCCACCACCGCCTTAATTTTATCCCCAACTCCAGTTGTGTCTGTGTGTGTGCATTGTTGTTCTATTTCTCCTTTTATTTCATGCTGATAATGTATATCTGTGTTTCTGTGTTTGTCAGCCTACCTGCGCACTTTGGTGTTTTTCCTGAAAGTTTGTGAATCTCATCTAGCCTATATAATGCCTTTGTTTAAATAAATTGAAAGAAAGTCACCTTTTTCTCCAGGTTAATGCAATCTTTATATCAGATCCCACTAAAACCCTCAGCCCAGTACTGTTATTTACCCTGCCAATATTGGTATTATTTACTAGCTCTCTTTGTTCCCATCTTTCTGGCTTTTGGTTACTAACTCTTTTCTTGTGTCACTTCTTTGCTTTATGTCTCTGGCATCATAAGGTAAACAATGGACTGCTAACCACAAAGTAAGCACTTTAAACCCACCAGTCCCCACTCAGAAGAAAGATGAGGCTATGTGCTCCTGTAACCCAAGTAGGATCACATTGAGTCAGAATTGACTTGGTGACAGTGTACTAAGTTTCAGTCTCTACCTTTTTGGTTATCTCCCTTCCCCATCTCTCCTCCACCCCTAACCCCCACTCCCTCACTATTCATATCCATTTCTATCTACCTGTCTGATGATCTTTAGATTTTTAGACTTTCTTTCTCTATACCTTTCTGTCTCTGAGTTTCTGTGTGCCTCTGTCTTTTTTAATGTGCCTCTGTAGATTCCTGAAGGCCTGCTTCTCACAGGCTCAGTCTCAATCTCCAAAATGACCACAAAGTCTTTATGAAAACATGTTAAAAGTAATCTGTACATTCCTCCATTCTCACACGATTAAAATCTTTCTCCATGTTATTTTAGCCATCTCATATGCCAACAACTGTTTATAAAGTCTTCAAGTGAATCTCATATACATAAATTTTGCATATAAAAGAACAACACTTTCTGCCACTCCCCATACCTCTAGACCCCCCTGGAAATTGCAGAGGTGCAAGGAGTTTAAAAACAGAAGAAACTCTCCAGGTATTACAGGAGCTGCAGGGAAGGATTAAAGAATGTGAGCAACTGATGAGCCAATATGATAAAGTTAATTCATGGGAAGTGGATCCTAGTACAAAGAAGAGAGTGTGAAGCTCAAACAACATTTCAGTAAGAGAAATTCAGCCATAATATTGAAAAATTAGGCAGCTTCCACCAATCAATCAATCCTCAAATGTATAGTTTTATTTAATGTCAGTTGTAGAAGTGGGGGAGTGGGAATACATTTCTTACATGGATTAAATCCTATAATTCTCACAGCTACTCAATTTTTATCAGCTACTTTTTTTACAGATAAGATAATGGAGACACAGTGAGGTAGTTAGTTTATTGTGCCAACCTGGCCAATAAACACATGTGGGGTTAATTGAAGGGCAGAGGGATAAATAGCTCACTGAGTCTTGCCTTTCCAGCTCTCAGGTCTCTTGCTTTGTGATGGTCAGAACAGGGTGCCGCTGCCTTAGACTGTTCCTGCTTCAGCTGGCCAGGTTTACTTCCTGCAAGGCATCCCTGAGGAAAAGCCACATGGTCCTACCTCTGTGAAGCCCAGGGTGCTGGAGCAGCTGTGTGGAGACCCCTGCTAGCACTGAGATGCTTACACATTCACTGATTTGGCTGTCCTTCTGCAGTCGGTGTCATAGTGTGTGTTTTGTGAGATGGAGGAGGACTTTGTGGATTGGTGTTGGACATATGGGTTAATTTTGCGCTTGTGGACTTGAGCAGCACTGGGTTGGGATGTTTTCTTGATGCACACTTAACCTTTATATAAAACTCTGTCTTATACATGAGTTTCCATGGATTTGTTTCTCCAAAGTGCCCAGACTAATACACACAGGATACTTAAGAAAATTTTCCAAGCTAGTAAATTTGCCATGCTGTGATTTGAAAGTGGGCAGTCCTGACTTCAAATTCTGTTTGTATAACTACTACATGATGCTGATGGTGAGTCAGTTGACTAAATCAGGAAATACTGTGGACTCTCCCTTATTTCAGTTGGAAAGGTGAAAATTAGAATGCAGTGAGAACCTGTCTCCTTAAATAAGTTTGGAAGGGATTAGTGGGTCAAAAATAATACAAAGTAGATCCTGCCTACAAAGGACTCTGGAAGAGAACCATAGTACATTGAG